TGATAAGCTGCCCAGACCCCACTGCCCCCCAGACCTAGAATCAGCATTTCTCCCCAAACTACCATCAGGGGACTGTTACTTCAGTTCCAATAGGCGGGTTCTGCAACCAACACCTTAAACGTGAGGGGGCTGTTCTCCATGCTCTAGACGAGAGTGAGTGACCAGACTTCTTGTTCAGCTCCATCCTACCTTCAAGATGCTTTCAAGTTCCAGCCCAGCCTTTGGGAAATACAGAGTTTGTGTTTGTTCATAAGAACAGACTCTGCTCAAACTTGAAACACACTTGATCACAACACCCAGCTACAACACAGTATTCTACTTCTAACCATCTAAAAATTGGTGCTGCTCTTGGGAAATACAAAATGAGGCTTAAAAGGAGAGAATAGTTGAGACTGCCAAGAAAATCTGGGAAACTCAATTTGAGTTAAAAAAAAAAAAGGAAAGATAAACACTCGAAGCTGCTTTACCTATAAAGAACCAACCCAGATTGCTTGACACAGAAATGAGATAACACACTCAACTGGGCTTCATTCACCAGAGTTTGTCCTTGGCCCTGGTCCCTTCCACTGCTCAGAAGGTGGAGAGCATGGAAATAAAAGTAAATAGCATCCCTCTGTGTCACATTTATTGTGCAAGACTGAAACCGGTTCAGGAGACTTCCGTGCAACCTGAGTGGATTCCCAAATGCTCAGAGGCCCCTGCCCTCAGGTGTGAAGTCTGATTGTGTGGAGAGACCCTCAGGGTTCTGCCCCATGTCCTGTGCCACCTTGGACCTCAGTCCCCTCCAGCACACTCCACCTCACAGACTGTGGTGAGAATTAAGTGTGGACGTGCAAGTAATGTGCGCATGGCAGAGTCTGGCCAGGGCAGCCTCTGATGGCAGGAGGGGACAGGCACTGACAGGCATGGTGGGGCTGAGTCACCCTTGCCCTCCTGGACCTAGCACAGGTGAGCTGGCAGGAAGCAGAGGCAAGTATCAAGTGGCCACTTGCTGGTCTTAGAAAGCCCAAGGGAGTTAGAATTGCTGTTCAGATTAAATGAGGCCACCGGAGAGAGTGCATCTTATAAACTGTAAAGCACCTGGTGAATGTGAGGTGCCATTATCTCCATTTGGTCAACAGAATGTTCTCTGACCCCCTCCCCACCTACTTTGTTCCAGGCCCCATGTTGGGCACCAGCAGTACAGCAGAAGGGCACAGGCTGCTCTCTGCCCTCAGAGTCTAACATGAGTCTACAATTGTACAAGCTCTGGTGTAGCCACACAGTCCTGACTGCGACCCCACTAACAGCCAACATCATTTGGGTGTTGGCCATGTGACAGTATCTGTATGTACTTCCCATGGCGCGTGGAAAGGATACTCAGCAGGTGCCCTAAGGCTGAGTCCTGGCACCTCTTGCAGCATCAGCTGCCCCATCCTTGGGATCAACTTGAAGGGCCCAGTTCAGAGGGAAAGCAACCCCCACCCATTCATGCCCCCTCCGTCCCAGCCTGGGACTTCCCAAATCCACCTGGAGACTGATTGTTAAGGTCTCCCACAGCTGGTGCTTCAACAGATGCCAGGCTTCCAGAAGCATTGTCCAGCCCATACAAGTCTGCCTTGTGGTCAACTTCCTGTTCTATTCTGGCTTTTCACCTGCTCTCTTTCTCTCCCTAAAAGCCCATGAATTCTCCATAAATTCAAAAGTGCATTTCCTATCGAGGACGATAGCAGTGGAAGCCTCATAAGGGATGGGCAGCATAGCTATGCCTATGGATTGCTTATTTGTAAGATGAAAGCATATCCCAGAAAGCCAGGGGTATGTTATGAAAAGCAGAACCTGAAAGTGTTGAGCTGGACAGAAGTAAGTGGAGTGCTTTAGTGAAGAGAGTCTCTAGTAGCATTATTCAGAGTCATATGCTCACAACCAAAGTCCACTCATAGGGGGGAACACGTGAATAGGAACCGCAAACTACAGAATCTGGCTACCAGGACCAAGCTAATGGAATCATCAGATATTGAACATAAAATAAATACCAAGCAAAATTAATAAAAAGATACCCATACCTCAATACATTGTATCAGCATCACACAACCAGAGAGAAGACTCTAAAAGCAGCCAGACACCTAAGGCAAAGTCCAGCAAAGGGGCAGCAGCTCAGCTGACAGCCAGGCTCTCAGCAGCAATAGTGGAGTGATATGGAAAGAGGCAGAACACAGCGAGAAAACAGAAGTGCTGAGAGGAAATGAGTTTTCTGACAATTCCAACTGACTACTACAAACAGACCTTCCTAAAGAAACAACTAACGGTTGTACTTCAGGAAGAAAGAAAGTAATATCAAAGGAATATCTGAGGTGTAAGAATATTCTCATGACTCAAGGTAAGCAAGGATTTCTTAAACTTGTCCCCCCAAAAAACAGACTATAAATGAAAAGATTAATATGTTTAATTATGTTAAAGTTAATAACTCAGTTCATCAAAAGACATGATAAAATGTGTGCAATGTGCTGGCAGAATACATTTGTAATATTTATAATGAGATCCACACCATTAGAAAGAATTCCTATGAATCAATAAGAAAATGACAAATCCATAAGGAATTTGGAACCAATAAAAAAGTTCACAGAAGAGGGAATATATGAAAACAAGCTCAATCTCATTAGTAATCACAAAAATTAAAATCTAATGAGATACATAGAAAATTTCAAGAAATATACCAACCAACCACCAAAAATACCTCCTTGAATTAAGAGAGCTCAGCAAGTTGCAGGATACATTGTCGACACACAAAATCAATCTTGTTTCTATCCACTAGCAATGAACAATTGGAAAATTTCAAAAATTATTAAAAAGCAATATTATTTACAATAGCACCCCCCAAATCAAATACTTAGGTGTAAATGTAAGAAAATATGCATGGCATCTATAATGCCTTAAACTACAAAACATTGATAGAAGAAGTCAAAAGGCATGTCAACAATTGGAGAGGCATACCATGTCCATGGATTGGAAGATTCAACATAGAAAAGATGTCAGTTCTCTTCAAATTGATCTCCAGATTTAACACAGTCAAAATCGCAGCAGACAGATCTTGACAAGCTGATTTAAAAATGTATGTGGAAAGGCACCAGCACTAAACAAGGGGTGAGCTGTCTCCTAAGCTGTCTCCTGAGAAGTGTGAATCACCTGCACTGATGATAGCTCTCTTGATTATAGTGACTTTATAGAAAGTTCGAAAATCTGGTAGTCTGATTTCTCCAAGCTACAAGCCTAGGAGCCATCCTTGGCTTCCCACCCCCATCGTCCCAAATCTCCAGTGGTCTCATAACCCAACAACTTCCTCATTTTGCAAACTTATCTTCCTACTTCATAGAAGATAGATAGATGCTTTGCACCCACTGTGTCATGTGAGAAATGGAACATTGTCTCTGGAGGCCTCCAGATATCCGTCCTCAGCTCTATAGTCCTTTCTCCCTTGGGAGGACCATTCTCAGAAGGCTCTGAGGAAAGTGGGTTCTGAAGGAATTTGGGAGTGGCATCAAGTTCAGATTTTGGAGCTGTTGGATTTGAGGAGCTTGAGGGGCAGGGCCAGGACTGGAGTGGGGCAGGTGAGGTGCCTGGGGTGCAAAATATCATGAGGAACTTGCTGTCAGGGTCATGCAATTTCAGGGTTGGCCCCTGCAGAGAGCAGAGACATGCAGTGGGCAAGTGGGTAGGTGTGCAGGGATGAGGCCACGGCGAGAAGTGAGCTGGAGGTGGATTCCTGGGATCAAGCAACTGTGGTGCTTCCAAGCACAGGCTTAACAGGAGTGAAGGGACGGAGAATCCAGGAGTCTCACAAGGACATCCTAAGGAGGCCCCAGGAAGGAGAGCTGCTCAGAAAGTCGGCGACAAACCAACAGCAGAACCACTTGGAACTCATGTCAGATTTTTCCCTCCAGGCCTCTCGCTGGACATGTGTCTAGTGGACATTTAGTTCCCCTCCCGGGGCTCTCCAACAGGGGCGCAAAGCCCAGCCCCAAAGCAAACAAAGGCAAAGCCCAGAGAACAAAGGCAAAGCCCAGAGAACACAGGGGAAAGGTTGCTCTCTCCACTGAGGGGGTGATAAATGGCTGGACAGAGTTGGGAGGTGATTAAACTGGAACCGTACTGCCTGCTGGTAATGGACCTCAGGGTGTCAGACAAACCAAGTGCCTGGGCTGAGGGGACCAAGGAGCAGGAGAGTGCCAGTCCACAAGTGAAAGTGAACAACAGGGAGCATGCCACTCAATGATGTGGGGCTGCAGGGGTGGTGATGTGGCCCACGGAGGATGCCAGGTCCTTTATACAGAGGACCTTTTCTATGTCACAGCTCACTTCAGCCTACTCTGGCCTGGGAAATGGGTTCACTGTGGCCAGAACTATGGATTTCCCAAGAAATGTCTGAAATCTGGATTTCTCATGTGAAATATTGTTTTGTTTTGTTTTTTTATAGTACTTTTTTTTTTTTTAACTTCACTGGAGAACAATGTGTTTTTTTCCAGGACCCATCAGTTCTCAGTCAAATTGTCATCCTTCAATCTTAGTTGTGAAGGGTGCAAGCTCAGCTCCCAGTCCAGTCACTGCTTTTAATCTAGTTGCAGGGGTGGGGTGGGTGGGGGGAGGTGGAAAGGGGCACAGCTCAACCTTGTTGTTAAGAGCACGCACTCTAACCAACTGAGCCACCCGGCCTGCCTGTGAAATATTGTTTTAAATGTTGGAAACTTATTCAGAAACGTTTTAAAAACTGTATATGCCAACACCATTTGGTCCAAGAAGACACATCTGCGTGCCAAATTTAGACAAGTCCTTCCATTGGCAACCTGTGTGTTAAGCCCTTGAATTTTCTAACAAAAGTTGCTGTGACTTCGGGGCCAGCCTTCCATCCCACCTAACTTCACCAGAACAGCTTTTAACCAGAGCGAGGAGAGGAGAGACTCACAAAGGGAAGCACGCCCCCCACCAGCAAACAAAGCCCCTCCTTCTATGGTTTTGTCTTACAGATACTTGGGTTCTGGGTCTGGATCCTGGTGGCCTCCATCCAAGTGGCAAACCCGTTGCTGCAAGGATGGGTGATGTACGTCTCGCTGACCTCGTTCTTCATCTCTCTGATGTTCCTGCTCTCTTACTTGTTTGGATTTTACAAGAGATACGAGTCCTGGAAAGTCCTGGTAAGAGCCAGCAAGGGGGCCCAGGCCCTCGGGCTCCTCCCAGACTGGTATCCTGGGTACTGTGGGGACAGTGGGCCTTCTGAGTAGGGAGGGAGAAGCAGAGACCTTTTCTGGGCTAGTCCCCCACGGACCCAAGACTTCTTATGCTCATGAGTTTTCTGTTAAACCAGAATTAAGTGTTGCCCTGCCAGAGATAATCTCTCATTGTATAAACCTCCGATGGCTCCCTTGTTAAGAATATACACGTTCTGTATACAGTTGACCCTTGAACAACATGAGACCTAAGGGCACCGACCCCCTGCACAGTCAAAAATCCATGTGTAACTTTTCACTCCTCCCAAAACTTAACTACTAATATCTGAGTGCTGACCAGAAGACTTACCCGTAATATACAGTCAATTAACATGTATTTTTTGTGTTATATGTATTATATATTGCATTCTTACAATAGAGCAAGCCAAAGAAAAGAAAATGTTATTAAGGAAATCATAAGGAAGAGAAAATACATTTACAGTACTCTATGCATTTGTTGAAAAAAATCGCGTGTAAGTCTAAGTGGTCCTGTGTGATTCAAACTGTATTGTTCGAGGGTCAGCTATATACTCCAGTATCAAGCACATCCTGACACATTTCGCTCCAATTTTATTTGTGGTAAAAATGTTGGAGTAACATTGAAAGAAATATCGCCCCAGTCTCAACGGCCTGTCCCAGTCAATAAGCTCATTCCTCCGTATTCTTCACAAATTTTGCATGCAATGTATATATTGTATTCTAATCACAGTGAACCAATAATTTGGGGTGTTGAGTCTTTCATTTACTATTACGTCATTAATTATTTTTCATGTTGTCACATCATCTTGATAACCATTTAGGATTTTTCTATGTTGAACAACTTAAAACACACAGATGTAGTGAGGATCGTATTACGGACCCTCGTGTGATGGTGACCCAGAACCCAGCATTATGGAGATTTTACCGCACTTGCTTTCTAGTCTTTGTTTTTTTTCCTGAAGAATTTTAAAGCAATCCCCAAGCATCATGTCATTCTATTCTACACACTTCAGTATGCCTCCAAAATGTATGCACGCCTCTTACATTTTCATACGTATATAAAGTTAATCCCTTGGTGTCATCTGAGACCCAGGTCCCACTCAGATGTGTTGGCGCATTTCAGTCAGGAGTGTCACCAGGCAGGGCCACGCATCATGCTTGGCAATGAAGGTTCCTGGGTACCTTAATTCTACAACATCTCCCTCTGCCAGTGGAAGCCAAGTCAGCTGTCAAGTAGGAGGTACCCCATTTTGGATTTGCTTGTTTGCTTCTTCCTGGTGTGACTTGACTCCTTCCGCTAGACCCTAAACTCTTTGTAAGCTGGAAGTTAGCACTAATGGTTATTGAAGATGAGTTGACCCTTTCTGGCAGGAATGTTTCATAAGTGGCATCAAGTCACATCACACATGGTGACTGACAGTCCCTCTTTCGGGGAGTGTGACAGCCCTACCCCATCAAGTTTTTCTCTAATGCCTTCTTTCATCTATCGATGAATTTTCCTGAACTGAATATTCCATTCAGGGTTGCAAAATGCCTATGACTTGCCTCTGGTGACATTTCTTCCAGAATTGATAACCATTTTTAATGGCTGCATGACATTCTCGTAGAGCTGAAGGACACTGCTGGGAGTTTAGCACAGAGGTTCCAAAATTGAAATCCGGAATCTGGTTAGCAGACTTCACCAAGTCTACTGTGTGTGAGCCGACCCTCAGTTTCCTCCTCTGTAAATGGGGATAACAACAAGGCCACCTCAGGAAATTCTCTGTGAAAATGAAGTGAGGCAACGGGTGTATATGGTCAGGACGGTGCCCAGCACACATAGGAGGTCTTTATAACACCAATGGTTAAAAGCATGGGCTTGGCGTTCATGTGGCCTGGGTTCAAATCCTGTCTCAGCCATTTGTTCAGTGACATTGACCTTGTTTCTATTTCCTCAAAATAGCACTAATGATAAACAAGACCTACCTCATAGCTGACAGGGTTGAATGGGGTAGGTGAGAGGACTGCTCAGCATAGAGCTTGGCACGGATAAGTTCTCAGTCAACGCTGGCTGATGTTTATATCATTATTGCTGTTTATTAATCCACTATATTGTTCACTACATAGATATTTTATGAGAAACACTGCAAAAAAAACCAAAACAAAACAAAAGGCAGAAATTGGGGAGCGTGCTGTCCCTTTTTCTCACTCTTCCCAGCTGTGTAGTCAGAGGAAAGCGCCCACTCGCGTAGGAGGCCGTGTGACATGGTCTGTGCTCTGCCCTTCCAGGACAGCCTGTACCACGGGACAACCGGCATCCTGTACATGAGTGCGGCCGTCCTGCAGGCACACGCCACCATCATTTCCGAGACCCAGGACCTGAAGAGCTACTACATAAACACCACGGCCTCGGTGGGTGCTGGACCAGAGCCCTGAGACCCAAGGATGGAGGGGTGGCGGGAGGCCCTGCACCCTGGGGCTGATGAGCCTGGGGGACAGAGGAGGGGTGGGCACATGTGTGTGTGCGTGTGCGTGTGTGTGTGTCAACATGTGTGCCCACCCTTGTAGTGTCCCAGGCCCAGGTTCAGATGTTACCTCTCATCTTCGGTTTTTCCCACCTCAGCCCTCTGACATCCACTTCACTGTCCTCAGATTTTATTTTTCCAAAACACAATTGGAACACCCTTCTCTCCTATGAAGAGTGTTTAATGCCTCCCATTGCTGGTGGAGTGGAGCCCAGATTCCTCAGCATGGCTGACCTGTTTAGATACCCTTTCACTTCAGTGACAGAGTCCACAGGGGGAACATGTCAGCTAATGGGACCCAAGTCAAGGTGGCCCAGCTGAATGGTGGGACAAGCAGGACCCCCAGACCTCAGGCCCCAGATTGCCTGCCTCCTAGTCTCTGCACCACGGCCTCTCATATCCCTTTATGCAATGGCGCCCTCACGTGGTAAGAGCTCACAGCCGGCAGAGGCCTCCTCCGTGTGGTGCAACCTTCTTCCTTTACCCCACCTTGAAAACTTCCAAAGTGGGACTGAAACACACAGGCTGGGTCTGAGTTCTGTTTTATTTGGGGGTTCCCACAGGGGTGCAGTGTGGGGTGCTGTTCCAGCTTAAGAATGGGGTGCCAGGCAAGCACTGTGATCCCCTAGGGTGGCCTTTGCACCCTGACTCCTTTCCGTCCTTGTCAAGCTGCTTTGGCTTCTTTCCAGTCACCACTCCAGCAGCAGCCCTCGGGCCTCAGTGGCCTGGCCCAGCACCCCTGCTGCTCATTCTTTTTTTTATTTTATTTTATTGGGGAATGGTGTGTTTTTCCAGGACCCATCAGCTCCAAGTCAAGTAGTTGTTTCAGTCTAGCTGTGGAGGTTGCAACTTGGTGGTCCATGTGAGGATCGAACCGGCAACCTTGGTATTATGAGCACTGCACTCTAACCAACTGAGCTAACCGGCCGCCCCACTGTTGCTTATTCTTGGTCAGTTGCTCTGGCCAAACCGGCCTCCTTGCTGCCCCGTGAACACACGACACAAGCTCTGGCCTCAGGGCCTTGGCAAGGACACCCTCACTCCAGAAGGCAGCTCCCTCTCTTCCTTCTGTCCTTTCTCACTCAGGTCACCTTCTCAGCGAGGCCTTCCCTGCCCCTCCCCCAGAACTCCCTTCCCTGCTTTATTTTCTCCTACTTGTTCCCCTCTCACTACCACTCTGCTGTTTTCTGCTGCTTGCTTTCTGCTTCTGCCACTAAATGTAAGCTCCAGGAGGACAGGCGTTCTCAAATATTCACTGTGATAGCCACTATCATTTTTGAAGTATAATGGGGGCTTAAAAGACACTTGTTGGATGAATGAATGAATGAATAAATGAATGAATGAGAACAGAGTGTGAGTGGACAGAGGGACAAAGTGAGGCTGGAGCAGTAGGCCAGGCCTGAAAGGCATGTTAAGGGTGAGGGCCTCTATCCTGAGAAGCAGGGTCGTCATACAGTTTCAGCCACATGCTGGGGTAAACAAGGCCATGTTTTCCTCTTGGGGAGATTAGAGGGGCAGAGTGGGCAGAAGTGGACAAGTTGAGGCCGTAAGAAGTCCTGGTGAGGCATGACGGCACTGAGACAAGGAGGAAGTGGGCGCACAAGCCAGTCGACCTCAGACTTTGGCCATGGTGGGTGGGGAGGGAGCAGTCGGGGTCACGAGTATGTGGTTTGGTGCTGAACAGGGTGAGGGTCCTGGCACCATCTGAGCTCATGAGGCTGTGGTAAAATCTCCAGAGCTCAGTGCAGACATTTAAGAGCTGGTGGGGCCTCTGAGGCTCTCACGAGGAACTGAGCAGCCAGCGCTCAGAGCGGAGTCTGGGCTGGCGAGTGAAACTGGGAGTCGTCGGGGAGCCAGTGGTGACAGAAGGTGGCAGGGGCAGATAGACGCCTAGGACAAGAATGGCATGAGAGAGAAGGCCCAGGGTAGGGAGGGAGATGACCTGCTTTATGGCAGGTGGAGAAGCACATGGACCCAGATGAGACTTGAGCAGGACACAGGGTATGGCCTCAGGACATCCAGGTGGAGAGCTTCAAGGAGGATGGAGCGGTTGGCTAGTGGCACAGGTGGACGGGGCACAGCGGGGTCACAGCCGAGGCGGAAGTCCCTGCAGCGGGTTGCAGGGCTGGCCCTGGCTCTGTCTAATGCCATCACTCTATCACCTTGCAGTTCTTTGCCTTCATCACCACCCTGTTCTATGTCCTCCATGCCTTCAGCATCTATTACCACTAGCACCTATGCCTGCCCCTGAGAGATGCTCGGAGAGCCTGGTCACTGGATGAGCAACACAGCAACAGAACGTCGGTGGGACTAACAGACCGTCTTTTCCGACTGAGTGACGAAATCACACTCTGCATGTCCATTTGGGCATTTTCAATCATCGGGACGAATATGGAAAGGCTGTCATTGTCTTTTTCCTGGGAAAGTAACTGGCTCTTGGGGCTGACCGTGAACCTCACTCTTCCAGATACTAGTCTCTGAAGCCCTCACTGATCCGCCCTGTCATGCCTGGCTGGGGATTCTGCCTCAGCAAGGATGGTCCCCCAGAGCAAGAGCTCAGTCTTACTTTCTTAAAACCAAAATGGTGCTGTCACTGCTGCCACATCTTTGCCTAGACACACAGACCTTCCCCTGCCCCATGCTTGTGTTCTGCTTTGCAGCGGGGACCAGCCATACGGCCACCCCATTCCCCTATCTCCTTCCCTTTCCTCCCCAGCTTTGGGATACAAGGAAAATCTGTACAAAATCAATTTGGAGGGTAGATTTGTGGGAAAATAAGTGATTGACTACAAAATTGTCATACATTAAGACCTACGGAGGAGCCCTTTCAGAAAGCATGCAGCATCAGGCCTCCAGGATGCCACCTCAGAAGGACTAAAAGCCACCTTGTCCCTCAGAAAAGGTCTTCAAGGAAGAAGGCAGGACGTCATGTGCAATGACATCCTGTCACACTACATGGGACATCTCAGGAGGCTGGGAAAGGACCCCTGTCCCAGGGACATGCTCTCACACGGGCACTCACTCCCCTTGCGTCCCCTGTGGTGCCACCTGGGTGGGACCTCCTGCAGTAAGGGGCTCCCACGGACTGGACCTGCACCGGCATTTGACTTTTGGACCATTCTCAATGAAAAGGCTGGCGTCACACACACAGGAACCAAAAGTCAGGTGCTTGGTTTCAAAGTAAATGTTTCGAGAGGAAACTGTTCATCTGGGGTTTGTCACCTGGGCTCCATCCCTGTCCTCAGCTTTGTGTTGGGTCATCTGGCCTCCCAGGTAGGGCACAGCCCGTAACTGTACACGCTCTGTCTCTGAAATAAGTTAGGACATGGAGGGACTTGTCTCAGCCAATTGGAGAGCTCACAGTTTCTGTTAGCTTCTTTCTGTTCCTGGGGGAGGGGAGGGGGTACAGGGAGTCACCGAAGACAAAACTGGCTTCACTGTCCTTGACTGCTCTCTTGAAAAGCCACCATTTATCTCTTTCTTGCCTGGCAGCTGTCTGGGAATAGCACTGTCCATATTTACTGAGCAGCCACATCCAAATAAAAGGTGTTTCTACAGCCAACCGCACTGACCCACTTGATTTCATGATGTCAGCAGCTGGAGTGGCCACCGTTTCATAGCCCTCTGTGGAGGCTTGAAGGCCCAGCCCACGTTTGTCTCCAGGGCTCAGGGTGGTGGCATTGTTTCCACCTCAGTAAGGACGGTTTGGGTACAAGTTCCAGAGCCAGCTGAGGCAAAGCTGGGGGCACACTGGCTGGGCCTGGGGGGTGAAGGGCTTTGGTGGGCACTGAGTGGACCCCTTGCCGGCCTTTTGCCTCATGTCCCTGCTCTTCTTCCTGGGGTGCTGTCCTTCTCTCTCACCCTGCAGACCACATTTACTGCAGACACTGTGGACCCAGCCCTGAGCCCCGGGCCCCCCATTCACCTGCAGCTGCCCCATTCCCAGCTCGCTGCCACCTTCCAGCCTTGGGGGGAATCTCCTCTCTGTCTAGAGCCCTCCCTGCTCCCCCCACCCCCCGCCAAGCACCCCAGCAAGAAAGCACCCTGTGGGCTGGGGCACAAGCTTAATTGGCTTTTCTCCTTTAGCTCATCTACACCCTACTTTCCCATGGGGCTTCTGAGATTCTGCACCCAAGTCCTTGGCTCCAGGTCAGCATCAAGCAACCTCAGACCAAGATATCCCATAGCCACGTCCTGAGCACCGAGCATGTGGGCTCAGGGTCCCATGAGTCACACCCCTGCTCCAGGCTAAGCAAGCCAGAGACAGGTTGGATTTTCGGCTTTGTCCCGGAAAGCCAGTAATTCTGCCTTAGCCAGTAACTGGGTTACAATCTTCAAAAGTGAGGGAAAAAATAATAAAATGTTAACATTTAGAAACAGACAACATGCCTCTGGGGTGAGCCAGAGAAGGACTGAAACAGCCCTGGCTAACAGGGCATTAGTCCCTGTGCCTGGACCCTGAACCTGTCACTGGCCTTTGTGTTGGGAATTTGAAGTGGAGCCAGTCTCAGAGAAAGCTGGACGCTGACCTTGGAGAATCACACACAAGCTCTTATCAGCATGCCAAGAGGGAGGAAGTCATGCCCATCTGCTGATATCCCCCCAGAATCTGCAGGGCTAGATTCTCCCACGGTTAGAGCTGGTCCTTCGAGGACCAGAGCCCTTGCTCCTACACACCTGTGCCTCTGTCACTGTCCCCAAGGCTTCGTGTATCTGAGCCTGCTCAGTACACAGCAGCTGGTCCATCACCTGTCAGCAGTGCACATGGGGGGAGGGTGCCATGTTCCCACGGTGATGCTGCACCACCCTGTGCAGAGGCCTAACTCCCAGGACTCTTGTGACCTAGTGGGCCCCCCGAGGTCTCACTGCCTTGGGGTTTATGTCTGCATCGAGTCTGAACCAGGATTGTCAGCCTGTCTTTGTTGTGTGTGTTTTTTTCAGAGAAGGAGTGTTGGACTTGGTGACAGAGCACCTGGGGAGACTCAAGGCTCCACCTGGACGCTTCTTTATTGCAATGTACCCGCCAGAGGCGTTCAGGCAGCACAGTGGTTTCTGACCACTTTAAGTGTACCACTGGCCTGAGTCTACTGGCCAGTGGCTGCACGTCCCAGGGAGTTTGAGCAGCAGGGGCAGCCCCACCTGTGTGCTGCCGCCTTTCAGAGCCCCGCCTGCTCCCTAGTTCTCCCCACAGGCCCAGCTCCTGTGCCAGCCTCAGCAATGTGTCAACAGAGGAAACCTTCCTATCCCACATCCAGATGCTGCATGCCCAGGTCATAGGTCAAGACCTTAATCATCATCGTCAATGTTCCTCCCCCTTTTCTTCTTTGTCTTGACTCTTAGCCATAAGGAGGTATTTTCAAAGCATAGAAAACAGAAAAATATGGCCCAGTTTATGAAAACATGCAGAATGCCATCCCAGGAAGTTTGGCCAGCCCTACTTCATGCTCTCTCTCCCTCCTTTCATGTTAGCCCCAGGTCTTCCCCCAGTGCCCCTCCCCAGCCCTGGAGTTAATCACTGCTTCCTGGGTGGCCCTGCACCTGGGTGTGTGTGTGGGGGGTCTCCCCCACTGGATGATGAGTTTCCAGGTCAGAGAGCGAGCTCTTGGATGTTTCTATCATCTTTGCTCATCCCCACCTTCTGGCCCTGCCCCACCAACCTCAGCTCCCACTGCCCTGCCCAGCACTGTGGACGAGGACGGGACTTGCACAGGCCACCGCCCGCCTGCAGGGACTGCTGGTTCATCTGGCTCCTGCTCTCCCTGTCCTCACCTCCAACCTGCAGTCTGATGTCCTGGGAGCCAAGGGAGTTCTCTGCCGGCCTCTGTACTTCCTGGACTCCCATGGCAGCCTAGCCCCTCCCACTCTCAACTCCCATCTATAAGGAGGAGCCCAGTCTGCCACCACCAGGGCCCAGTCCCCTCAGGTGGCCTCGCAGGGCCCTGCTGTGGGCTATCCAGTGTGCGCTTTGGTCCAACCCTGGTTCTGGGCCCAGCACACAGTAGGGCTAATAGAAAGGCATTTGGTACACCTGAAGGCCCCACGGACTGCATGTCAGGGAGCTCTTCTGAGGAGACTGCTTAAACCTTGCCTCCAAATGTCACCCAAACTGGGGACACGTGTGGGCATGGGGCCCGCCGGGCACAGCTGCAGGGTGGGTGAGAGGACCCAGCCCCTCTGAGCGGGTGGTGCTGGAGTGGGAGGCAAGAGGTTATCATAGAGGCGGTGTGGAGCCTTCTGGTCTGAAGGCAGCCACTCAGGACCCAGTGCACTAGGCCTGACCCAAGGCAGAGCCCCAGGGATTGCCAGTGGCCAGTGCTCTGTCTCCTACTTCCCTGCTGGGGGGGGGCTCCCACCCACCCCCACAGGCCCGGGAGGCCACTCAAGGGGGAGACATCCAGGGCAGGCTGGCCAGGAGACTGAGGCCTGGGGAGGCAGGGAGGATATGTGCAGCTGCCACCCCAGGTGTCACTTGTCCACGCCATGACATGGTGCCAACTGATGGCCCAGTGGGAGCAATGGGGATGAACCATAGATGAAGCTGGGCCACCAATAGCTGGGTTTCTACTGTGGCTGAAAGACTGTACTTGCTGATGAAAATTCTGGGACTTTTTTTAATTTGTTTCCCTTCCCTAGAGATGCAGGGCTGTGAGGACCCCTTTTAAGAGCTCACAGTCAGGCAGCGGTGACACTGACAAGGTGCCATCCTCTGCTTTTGTTCTCAGCTGCCGATTGTGGGATTGGTTCTCCCAGTCTTCCCATCTTCTGAGTTACAAGAATTCACAGCTGGTGGCTCTTGCTGTGACCAGAACAGAAACTTCCACTGACTGAACCTGGAAGGGACAAAAACAGCCTCAGGCCTGGGAAATGGCCACCAAGAAATGAGGTGGAGATGCAGGTGTGTGAGTGAGAGCCAGAATGTTCTCTAGTGGACTCCATGTCCATGTAGGGGAGAAACATTTATTCTGAGAGTGAAGGTTATGTGGAAGATCACACACACATGTGACAATGATGACCCTGGGGGGGGGGGACGTTTATTAATACTGGCTTCAGCGTCTTGAAGCTTACGTCACAGCGGGCACTGCAAAGGGCACTCAGCCCTCATTATCTCATCTCACCCACAATAGCCCTGTGAGTGCGGGATCGTGATTGCCATTTTATAGACAAGGACACCAAGGCACAACCACCAAGTAATTTGCCTGAAGTCACACAGCAAGTGAATAGCAGAAGGAAGATTTTTAACCTGGGTCCCAAATTCTCTCCCTCTAACCTGAGGGCTCTCCAAGTTCTCTCAGTACATGTCTGTTGTCTATTTAACATGGGACCAGAAGGAGGTCGATGATGGTGACAGAATCAGAGGTGTAGCCCTGCTTTTGTGGAAGGCGGTTCACAGAAGACAAAGCCGGAGGCCAGAGTTCGGAAGGGACAGCCGCCTGGATGCTCGGTTCCTTCCTGTGGGAAGGAAACCCAGGGCAGGAGGGTTGTGACAACCGGGTGACAGAAGCAGCCCGAGCAAACAAGAGTGTCCATCAGCCAGGGGCCCAGCCCAGGAAGCATGCTGGTTTGTCCCCTGGCCTCAGAAGTGCGACCATCTAATTCCAACCACACATCTAGCTTGTCTCTAGCAGATTGGGGCCATTGGGGTAGAGGAAGGAAAGTGACATTTCCAGGGTGGGGAGCTCTGAGGTTCAGGGTCTCCTGCCCTAGCATTCCCAATGTGGCAGAGTGGGCTGGAGGCAAGGCATGTCTCCTTTAATGGGTTTTCCAATGGCCGGGTCTATATTCTACATCCATGATATTTAAAGAACAAGGGACATCTCCTTCCTACCCTCGGTCCCTCCTCTCCCTCACCCACCCTCCAGTCCTCTGAGGGAACCACTATGAAAAGTATGGCTTCTTTCCTTCCAGAAACTTCTTCATTTATACATTTACAAACTCACATTTTCTGATGAGAAAAACAAACAAACATGGATTATGCTTTATGATTGGTCTGTAACTTCCTCTTTTCACCTCCAAAAGACATCCTCCTGAACACCCTCTGTGTCAGCACGTGAATGTCTACTGTCCCTTTCCCAGCTGACCTGGGGTCCCACAGTGTGGCTGCAGGCCTCGTGTGTCTGGGTGACTTCTCTGATGCCGAGTGCAAGTGGCCACAAGGCTCTCTGGAGAAAGGTTTGTCCTTTCCCACAGAGTCGCTCCCTCTGAGCAATGACCAGAGGTGGGAGTGGCAGGGAGAGGACCTAGTAATGCCAGGAGTCTGGTCTCTTTGATGTTTAAGAGGTTTAGAGGGGGTGATGGATCTGGGAGGTGATGTTTCTGAGAGGTGATGGTTTGGGAAAACGGTGGGTCTGGGAGCTCTTGGGTCTGCGAGGTGATGGGTGTGGGAGGTGATGGGTCTGGGAGGTGATGAGGAAGTGATAGGTCTGAATCATTTCTCACAATGTAGTGCCCAGCTCTGCACAGTCAGGGCTGCTCCCCAAACCAGCTAGGTTGGTCAGATGAGGGTCAGCCCTCCTCCCCACAGGCTGTGGATCCTGTTTACCCTCTTGGGCCAGGCTA